ATCCTGTTAAAAAAAAAAAAAAACTTTGATAAAAGGAGCTATATGCAAGAAAGGTATATACATAACAAGAGAAGAGAAGGCAATAAGAAAGACAATTTCTGTATTTGAAGGTGAGAGCAACCAGCCTGGGTTGTACGTGTGTTGATGTTACTTTTAAAGAAAGTTTCATTTTGTGCAAAGTCTTCACACATACTATAAATTTTGCATGTACAGGCTCTATTGGAGGGACATACCTTGTTTGAATTGAGACTCACTTCTTTTGTCTCTTATACCCCTTAGGAATTTATATACGGTATATTCATGCAATGTTTCCTAATGTGTACACAAAGGCATGCCTGTAAATAACAGTAGCTATACATTCATCTGTTGAGTTCTTGTTCTCTTCAAATTCTTGACTTTATTAGCACACTAGCAAGCAGGTTGGTGCTGTATTGATTTATGTAGTTACTTAAAGACAGTTTCGGTTGAGTGTTAAACCTCTGGCATTTTACTAATAAAGCAACAGCTCTCTCTCTCCTGGGATCTTCCTTTCTTCTCTGACGCCATGTTGAATTTAGTACGCTTCACTGGCATGACAGCGACGTGTATATACTTCAGGATGCCTCAGAATGGACTCGTGACATAGAAACAAGATCAGATATGTTAGGGCTTCCAGTTGACTCAATGGTTAGCGTGGTCACCTCACAGTAAGACGACCCTGGCTTTGAAAGTGACTTATTTTCAACGCAAGTCTGGCATGTTCCCCTGGGCTTCCTTTGACTGGTGATGTATTCAATTCAAATTCAATGGTGAGTGTTTCCCAGACTTTTCCCTTAAGGAAATGCTGCTGAGCTCTTGCTCTACTGTGACATTGTGATAGAAAAAAAAGTGCCTGGAGTAGATGTGTGTACTTAAGTATAAATCGATGTGTTTCTTAATTTAGAGGATTAGATTACATAGTGTACACAGAGCCTTGTTCACACATCATTCTTTGATAGCTGCATCTTAAAATTTGTCAATACAACAGTGCTTTACAGTGACTTTAATCTGGGACAGGGTGTACCAGCTGTGTCTAAACCTTGGCTGCTGTTCTCCCTGTAAGTTCTAGCAGAGAAAATCTCTTCAGATCTGTTCTACAACCAACATTTGCATAACTTTTTTTTTTTTTTTACAAAATTTTAAATTGCAGGGTTCTTATCTCAGACTCCTTTTAAATGCATAAGTGGTACAGAATGAATAAAAATTTCTTTGAAACTTTTCACAGAAAGGTTAGCTATTTCATGTGATTTTCTGGGTGTTATGTGTTCTAAATGTTTTGTCCTTTTGTAAGCAGTAAAACGATCAAGATTAAGTGACTGTCAGTCTGAGATAACTGTCAAAAGCTATATAGTTTACTAAAAGAATACCACCAGAAGGCAAAAGCTTTTAATTAAATTAGTCTTAGTATAACTAGTCGGCCAACCTAACTAGCAGACATTAGTTTGCATATTTCCTTGCATGGGTTCATAACTATATTAAATAACCTACTGCTTTTTTTTGTTGCTGTTTTTGTTTAGTACATTCTGTTCCCTGCAGAAACCTCTGCCCATGTCTGTCCCATTTATGAGAACAAGAACAGGAGACATCAGCGTATTCACACTGGCAGAGAAGAGAAAATGACCCAGGAAAGGCAAAATGAGTTCACAGGACAGTCAGCACCAAAGAGTTATGAAGAAGTGTTGAGTCAACCGTCTGTAAAACATTAAGGTCTTCAGTGTGCAGCAGGGAGCATTAAAACCAATTAGACATGCAAATTTCCATTTTGTACTAAACTATTTGCACCTTTTCACTCTAGCAGTAATATTCTGCAAAATGGTGAATGTAAAATGCCATGCAGCTATAAAAAAGATTTGTACACAGTAAATAAGAAAAAAAAAGGATGAACAAGCAAACCTCGTAGTATTAAACTGATTTAATAAAAGGTTTTATATTATGTACTATATACTATATTTAAACAATAACAAATAAAATACAATAAAAAGCTTCCCGGAAAAAGCAGGGAGAGGGATGTGAGGAGGAAGATGGAGGAGGAGGAGGGAGGTTGAGGAGAAGAGAGGAGGAGGAGGAGGAGGAGGGGTAGGAGGATGAGGAGGAACACTGATGGCAATGATTCACTCTGAAGTATATAGAAGTGACCAGGACAGGGCTCCACGTGGACACTGTGGCTACTCCGTGTGGTAGAAATAGAGGGAGCCGAATAAAGGAAGAAGTGGGTAAAAAACGAGAGAGTGGGATGTACTGGCATGGGTAGAAGGTAATGAGGGAGATGGTTGGCTGGAGCTATGATAAAGGCTGGTACTGTGTTATTCTAATATAATTCACAGAAAAGACTGCATAGGAATACACAAAGAAGTCAAGTTGCTTAAGTAAAATCAGCAACATTTTATAACCCAGCCCAAGCTCTCTTAAAAAGACTAGAACATCCCAAAAATACAGCTATCAGACCACAAATATTAATGTAATAATCCTATATAATTAGTCCAGTGAAATTAATTAAATACATGGGTGCAATTGCACATAAGAATGCTCTCCACAAATGACCTACAACTTTCCTAACTGCACTCACTATTCTGAAACACACACCACACACACACTTTACTGTACTGTAGCCTCCTCTCCGCAGTATTTAAACCAAGCCAAGGAGTCAATTAGCACAGCCAATTTTAACCTGCACCACGATACATAACTCACGCCTGACACCGAGATAAACATCTGGGTCAAACTACAGGATATCCATCTTATCTGATCTCAGAGACAAACAAGACATACACTGATCTCTACTGACATCACACTACACACATAAGCAAACACACACTGTTGTACAGCATCTTGCACGTGCTGTTCCTCACACTGGCCTGAAGCGCACATGTCAATGCACCATAAATCACAGTAACCATCATATTTGGTCTGCGGGGCGTGGATGTTAGAATTCTCATTTTAAAAATGTGTGTGAGGCTTTTGGAAACAGAACTGAAAACAGAGTTAGCATGGACTGGTTTTTTAACAAAAGAATGCATAGCCGAATGAACAGATTAAATAATAAATTTCTGTTGTTTCCAAATTCTGCAATCCTACTCCGAAAAGACCACAAGCTATCAACCGTTTCATTTAATAATGCTGTGGGTGTGCATCACTTGTCCCACCATGCTTCTTTCCCCCTTCCCCTGTGTAGAGCTCAGGCAGGGGCGGGGGAGCCCTGTGGAGAAGATGTAACATTTTAATCTGTGATTCAGGGTGAGCCATGTGCCTGATGAAATACTGCCTGTGCGCTTAGCTCAAACACACACAAAGATTTCTTGCTCAGTCTCTCTCTCACCCACAACTCGACACAACACAAAAAAACACACCCACACCACACCACACAGGAAGTTCCTTCGTTCCTCCTTACCCCCCAAAAAAACTGTCAGTTCCTTCATCTGCATAGACTCCTTAGCAACTGTCCTCCTCATCAATCCGGGACTTCCTTCCACAATCATTCTTCATATCAAAACATAAGCTTGATTAGTATCGATCTTTTCATCCAACTCTCGGGCAAGAAAGTGAGTACACGCATTTTGCAAAATGTCCAAGTGCTCCTATAAAGGACCAGTGTGTGGAACATATTTGGATCTAGTGCTGAATTTGCAGATTTTAAATTCTGCTGAATGAATACTGCTCGCCTTCCAAGCGTGTAGGAGAAACTACAGTGGCCGCAAAATTTGTCAAAAACGTGAAAGGCTCAATCTATAGCCAGTGTAGATACCTCTGTAGATAGGACCTGCTTATTCTCAAAGGTAACTAAAACAACAGTTCTTATTTTCAGGTGATTATACACTAATAAAAACATGCCTATGAATTTAATATTCCATTTATATCAATAGATGAATAAATGTTACACACTGCACCTTTAACTGTTCTCATAATCTAACTGCCATACTATTCAGCTGGAGTAATCTGATACTCAGTCATTAAGGCACACTTATAGAAAAAAAAAGCCAGTAAATGCCATGCAAATAGACGAGTGGCACAGCAAGGAATCTTCTTCATTCTTTTCAGAAAACAGAACTAATTGGATGAATTTATATGCCTTCATCTCCTGGCGTGGCGGTTTCTTTTCCAGGATAATTTTTTTGTATGTTTTCAGTCGATCTAGCATATCACAGGAACAGGATTGTGTCGACCTCTCTTCCTCTACCAACTATGCCGCGATAATGAGCTTCATCTTGTAGAAATGGGTCTGGAGGGAGAAATGTTGCGATGTGCGGCTGCTGTGCATTAATGTCATCTCTGCAATTTATACAAACATACACCAGGCTGCAAATTCCTATACTAATAATGTCCATATTCATTAGCCTCTGACTTTTTGCTTATATCCTGTTAGACACGTTGTGC